GAGGCTAGATGTTGTTCAAGGCTTGAAGTTGACTGAGCTGTGCACATGGCATGATGGGCCTACGGGCCTGGGAGAGGACAGTCCTTTCCCAACGCCATGGACAAGGTGGGCGGACAACTGTGCAAGCGGAGGTCTGAGACCCAAGGCCTAAGAAGGAGCCAGGCACAGGACGGTGCTGGGCAGGAGGGAAGGACAGGCGCTCAGGTCTGAGGAATTATCGCAAGGCCGGTGAGCCTGAGCTACCGCGAGCGAGAGCAGGAGAGAGGACCACTGTCCTGCCTGCCTGTCCCACCGCGTGGGCTCCGGACCACCTGGTCTGCTCTGGTAGTTAATCTATATAATCTCAAGTCTCCATTTGTCCATCCACCCATTCATCTGGTCCACACACACTTATTAGCCCAGACAGGAGGCGGCACTAAGCCCTGAAGGAACTGTTCACCAAGCAGAAGGGGAAGACCCTCGACCCAGACAGAGAAAACAGCGGGAGACAAGTCCTGGGAGGAAAAAGCTCGCCGCTTGGATGGGGCCTGCTGGCAAGGGCCCCGAAGGCCGGGCCTCCCTCTCCACCGCGTTGGGAAAGCAAACACCAGGAAATGTGGGCACATGGAAAAAAAGTTAACACGCGATTCTGGGAGAAGCTGACACAGTCTTGTACCGTATCCTAATACCACCAAGCGGTAGCTGGGACCAAAGGCTTAAGCAGGAGCGAGCGGAGGAACACTGAACATGGAGACTATTCCATCGATTAACTAAATTTTCTTTCTGCCAACCAAGAAGAGACCATCATCAGTTACTGTTAGCGAAGGCCCGGCTTGCAGAGCACCTGTTTTCTGCTGCACCTTGCTGGTGCGGGCCAGAGGGAGCTGCTTGGGAGCCTCCATCAGGCAGCAATGTGATGAGATTGGCGCTGTGGAAAGGTCGCTGGGTGGCGGGAAGAGAGGGCGCCCGCTGGGAGGCTGCAGGAAGCGCACGTGATGCGAACCGGCGCGCAGGCTAAGGTGGCGGAGGCCAGCGGGCTGGGCGCAGCCTCTGCTGCGTTCTTAGAAATGCCCAAGGAATTGAATTGTCTGGTTAAAAACAGTAACAAAACCAAAAATGAATGGAGCCTGAACAACACAGAACTGTAGCCTCCATGGAGTCCCTCTGCTTGGGAGAGGGCTCGTGGCTGCAGACAGGCAGAGCTGGGGAGTTTTCTGAGGTCAGACATGCTCGAGGGTTTGGGGGGTTATTTGAGGAGACAGAACCCAAAGCTCTTGCTTCCTAAATCTGGCCAGAATCTGTGCATTCCGTCAAATGCGGACAGATGAGACATTCATTAAGCTTCAGGGCTTTTGCTGCTCCTCTTGATGAAAGCATGGCCTTTCATCAAGGGTCTTACAGCAGGTGCTAGAAAGGCCGAAGTTCAAAGGTGCCCAGGGACGGCTGTTTAAGCCCATCTTCTGCATGAGAGTGCAATGCACACTCGTCTGGATCCCCCGAGCCACGGAGCTAGAATCTCAGCCATGTGCTGGGAGAGGGCCCAGTTCCCACCGCCGCGCCCTGCCCTCTGGAGCGGGCGGTGATGCCTTCCAGGGGGAGCGGAGCCAGCGTGAGCTTTGTGTCAGCAGGATGGCTCCGTAGTAAACCCACGGATGGGGTACTTCCTTTGCGCGGGGCCCCAGGCAGGGCTCCCTGGGCCCTGTCTCCCTGGAGAGGCTTCACCGAGGCGGTGAGTCTCACCCTGCTGACCCATTTGGTCTGACCACTAACCTGTTAACACTGGCAACCTCCTCCTGAGCTTGCCATCGTCTGGCTCGAGCTGGAAAAGTCTATGTCTGTGGTTCCCTTCCAAACGGATTAAGAGGACAAGAAGACAATGAAACACTTGTCTCCAAAAGTGACTTCTTGGATCCATTGGCAAAATGTTAGAAAGTGGGTATGAGGCCCAAGAAACAGGACACCCAGGCTCCTGGAGCTTGGGGAGTATTACAGAATCCCAGCCCAGGCCAAGAATGAGTCACAATGCAAGCTTTTAAAATATAAAACCATCAACCTAGATTTCAATTCCAAGGAAACACATACTTGGCCATGAGGGAACGCTTTAAAAAAAAAAAATCAGGCTTAAGCCACTTGACAGGAAAATAAAACAGCCAAGGAACATTCAAACATAATGATTTACATCCTCCCCCTCCTTTCCCCTCCCTTCCAATGCGGGTCAGGGCGGACACAGAGGCCGTCTCTGCCAATGTCCTTGTCCTCTCCGGCCTCCCTGCTTTTCACTTAACACTATTTCCCACATGGGATCCTGGTACCGGCCAGAGCTGCACGTGCTGCCTCGGGGTTGCTATGCCAGTCGCCCGGATTCTTCACAACTTCCCGGGGCTCAGGCTCCAGGTTTGCTCCGTTGGGGTGGCCGTTTGGGGCAGACGAGAATTTCTCTTTCATTATGTATGTGTGCAAGCCCTGTTCACTTCTCTCAAAGAAATAGAAGCTTGACTGACTTCCTAAATGTAAAAAACAAGGTTGTCCTGGAGTAAATATTGCAGACGGACCAGGAAGGGCGACCACCACCGGCTAAAACACGAGCCCAAGAATTACTTTCCCAGGGAAGGGAATGAATGAATAACCAGCCTATACAATATTTGCTCAGCTTCTGATAGTTTACAAAGGTTTTCACTTATCTCATTTGATCATCACAATAGCCCGGCAGAGGTAGACAAGGCCCGGATTACAAGGATTATTAAAACCTCACTCTTTTTTTCCCTTTCTTGGCAGATAAGGGCTATAAAGGCTTAAAGTCACTTGAGGAAGGTGGGAGAGTTTGGGGACTAGAGCACCGGTCTCTAATTCATTCATACACATATTTTAAAAACGTTTATCCGGAGCCTATTCCAAGGCAGAGGAAATGGCAGTGGGTACACAGATAAAAAATACACGGTGCCTGCGTGGGAGGAAGGTCACGTTCTAGCCTGGGGGAGAGCGAGGAGAAGTAAACAAGTCCCCGCTTTGCAAGGTGAAGAGGGCTTAAGAGAAAGGAACAGAGCGCGGGCGACATTTCTAATCTGATGTTCTCACGAAGACCGGCTCAGTTGTTATTTACAATTATCTGTCCTCCGAAGCAGAGAGCAGGGGGTCCCAGTCTGGCCAGCCGTCACTGCGGGGATCATATGCGGTGTGTGGTGGGGACAGAGCTGCCGTTCATTCGGCAAACGTGCAAATTTCCCGGGGTGCCGAGCTCAACCCGGGTCAGGCTCCCCGAATTTCCCTGCACGAGATCTCTCAGGGTTTCTGCCTTCACACGGCGTCTTCGCGCCGCCACAGCCTGCAGCTCGGGAAGGCGGGCTGCTCGCTGCCTGCGGCTCCACGCCGCGGCGACCCGCGCCGCGGGGTACTGGGTCGCCCGTGCAGGGTCCAGGCCCTGGCAGGGGTGAGCCCAGAGTCGCGGCTCCGCGCGCCCCGCCCCATCGCCCGGCTCTGCGAGCCGCAGCCCCTTCCTCGAAATGAACGCGACAGCCCCGCTCTCTGGCTCTTCGTTTCTTGTTCTGCTACGTTATGCATTTTGCTGTATCTCCCGAACATATTTTATTAACATGTCTCGTGTCACAGCCGACGCACAGAAGCATTCTCCTTTAGAGAACCGTGTATAGATACTCGGGGTCGCAGCGATTCGGCCCAGCAGGTTCGGGACCTCGCCGTCCCTGCGCCGCCCGCCGGGCCCCTTTGTGAGCGCCGGCACCGGCTTTGTGTGGTTCACTTAGCCGGGCTCCTCTTCGAAAACCCAGCGCTCAGCACAAGGGAAACGCTCGCAAAGCCACATGTGTGTGTAAAGTTTGTGCCACGCAGGAACAGATACAGGGAGCAGGACCCGATCCCGGATTTCGGGGCGATTTTCCTTTGTTAAGACCTCACTCCCGAGCCCTGCCCGGCGGCTCCGCGGTGGTCTCGGCTCACCCTGGGGGAAGCCGCCCCGGCCTGAGCGCCCAGTCCCGGGGAGGCGCAGTCGCCCCGCTCCGCGACCCCTACCCGCTCGGGCCAGGCCGCTCCCTGCTGCGGCCCCGCCGGGCTTCGGGCCTCCCTCGCGGGACAGCCGCCTGTCCCCCGCTCGCCGCGCTCGGGCTGGGGCGGCTCGAAGATCAACGCGAATCCGCGGAGCCCCTGCCTGAATGCCGCCGACCCGGGCCCGGGGGCGCGTGTCAGGGTCGCTGGCCGGCCCCCCACACCCCCTTGGTCCGGCCTGACCACGGGAAAGCGCGGCAGGAAATCTGGGGGCATGAGGCCAGCACCCGCACGCGGGTGCGCGGGCCCACTCGGCAGGAAAAACTTACTGGGGGGAGGGGGACTGTCAAAGTTTCTGGGATCTTTTCCACTTGAGATTCCACAACCCTGCAGTGCCCCCTACAGAAAGCGGCCGCCGGGGAGGGAGGGCGCCCCCACGACCCCCGACTGCCGGCGGCGGCGCGGCCCAGGCGGCCTGGAGCTCTAGCTGTTGCTTTTGCCTTTTTTTTTTTTTTTTTTTTTCCGCTTGTTGTTTTTCAGATACATCTTTTTTTAGAATGGGGGGGGGGGTGAGAGCGCGAGCCGCTGCCTGCAGTGGAGCGTGCTCGGCCTCCAGAGGCAGTCGTCTCCAACTTTTCCTCTCCCGCCCCAACTCCGCGCGCGCCTCAAACTTCAGCCCTGCTGGAGCCCAAATTTGCCTGCCGCGCAGCTCCACTCTAATGTGCGCGCCCAGGCCCCTGGCGGCGGGCTGCAGCGTGGGGGCCACACGCTCGAGGCCCAGGCCCGCCCCCCCCCGCGCCCGCCCGCCCCCCGTGTGTGTGGGCCCAGCTGGGAAAAGGGAAACCGGGTGCCCCGGGAGCGCCCCGGGAGAGGGCGGAGCGCTCCCGCGCCCTGGGGCCAGGGGGCAGGGAGCTCCCGCGCCCGGAACGTTGCGAGCAGGGCTTGCGAACGTCGCAGGGGGGCACTCGCGAGAGACGGACAGGAAGAGGGCCAGGGGGGACGCCAGAACCCGGGACCACAGTACGGAAACGGCCCGGGGCTGAGCTGCACTCAGATCCTGGGATGGAGGGAGCCGGAGAAGAGGAGTGAGGAGGCCGGCAAGCAGGCCCTGCTGCCCTGCTGGAGGCCGGCGGCCTGTTGTGGCAGTCGAGGAGCTGGCAGCCCAGAAAGGGAAGGGGTCAGGAGGTCGGGCCTGGGCCTCAGCAGGCTCAGACGAGGCCCACGAAGGCAGCCCCAGGCGCCCTGGAGTTCAGGGCCCTGGCCTCGCCCGGTTGTCCAAAGAAGGCCAAGGCCAGGCCTCTAGTGGGGAAACTGAGTCAGACCCCGGCCTCAGGGCACGGCCCAGGGGCGCGTGTGAGCCAAGTTAGGGGCAGGGGACCAAGCCGCTTGAGGGTCTCCAAGACTAAGGGGGGTAGGGGGCTTCAGGGCCTCCCAGTCCAGAGCTGGATTGGCGAGTCAGACGCTTGTAGATCCGAGGTTGGATTGGGGAGGGGTCTCTGGGACGCTGGCCAGCTAGGCAAGGATTGGGGGGATTTAAGTGCTTGGAGATCGAAGGCAGGTCTTGAGGAGGGGGACTGAGACAATTGGAAAGCCGAGGTGGTTATTTGGGGAGGGGTCTTCGCGCTTGGGCGAGGCGCATTGCTGCTCCTGCCTCGCTCGAGGTCTGAGGCCTCGTGAAGAGAAGCTGCCGTGAAGGGTGGGCCGACTAGGCCAGGCCAAGAGCAAGAAAGTGAACAAATCAGGAATATAAGTGGGCGGGGGGCCCCTGAGAGGGGGGTCACAAAGGGTGAGCCATGGCCACCAGGCGTTTAACCGACGCTTTCTTGTTGTTGCGGAATAATTCCATCCAAAACCGGCAGCTGTTAGCCGAGCAAGTGAGTAGTCACACCACCTCCAGCCCTCTGCATTCACGTAGCAATGCTGCGGTGAGTCCCCGGGCGGCCTCTCCGACACACGCCTCGTGTGCACTGCGGCTCTGCCTGTCTGTCTGTCTCTGTCTGTCTCTCTGTTTTTGTTTTTTTTTAAGATACGAGTAATACGGTAATGCGAGGTCTCTTGGCATCTGTAACCCAGGATGGGGGAAAAAAAAAAAACAGTTTGAGGCCCCTGCTCCACCTCTGCCTTGCTCGCTCTCTCCCTCCTCACTTCCGCAACCCTCCCAATCCCTCGCCCCCGCACCCCACTTCCCCCCCCCCTCCCGACCGTCGTCACTGCACGACAATCCGCCTCCAATTTACATATGTTTTAACACTAAGATTTGGAAGCTGGGAGGCTTTCTGGAACCTTTTTGTTTCGTTTTGTTTTCACCCCCCTCCCCCCACCCCCCCACCCTGAGCCTCACTTTGGTTCTGGTGGCCAGGAAGCGGGATCGCAGATCCAAATCCTTGCAAATGAACGACACCCTCCCCCCAGCGGGGAAGGAGTTGTGGGGTTTTGTTGATTTTTTTTTTTTTTTTTTTGCCCGTTTTCTTTTAATGGCCTCGCAGCCCGCTGTGTGGTCGTGTACCCTATGAATAATTGCTTCTCTGTTTTTCCTGGGGGCTCCTGTGTGTGAGACTGGAAGGTGCTAGGATCTTCGTTTTCCATTTCCCAGACAGGAAATTAAGCTTTTCCCTCCATTCGAACTTAAAAAAAAAAAAATAGTGTGTTTGTGAAAACGTACCCCCAAATAGCACAGGTTTTTCAATGTCATTAACCTGAACCTTTCTTTACCAGCCCAGCAGTAGGATCTTTTATAGGGAGAGCCCCGCAAAGATAGCTTGTTTCTGTGTTTGTGTTTGATGCGGGCTGCTTTCCCTTTGTGAGCCTCAGTTTTCTGCTGGTAAATGAGGGGAGGGCGGCCAGGGGGCTCTGGGTGCTCTAAACAAGGCAGGAGTGATAGGCAGCTTTCTAATACCTGAAATGGGAAAGTGAAGTTAGGAAACTAATTTGGAGAGGGGCTCCCCGCTGGCGCTGGCGTGGGCAGCCCAGGTTTGAACAGGAGCAGCGTGAGGCAGAGGAACAAAGTCAGCCCCCAAACCAGGTTCCTGGGGATTGTACTGGAAATCTACAGCTCAGGGAGTCTCACACTTATTTTACCTCTTAGAGACTGTATTGCTTTTTCAGTTTTTTTCCCCCTCTATGACTTTATCTAAATGCTGCAGAAAAATTATGCCATGTGTCTGAATTATTGACAGGATGTCTACCCGGACAGTTTTTCCTTTTTGTAAATCACAGGTGGAAACTGGCCGTTATTGCTCCTGTAGAAAAGCTCTTCGAAGCTGTGTGAGCAGTTTTAGGAATAAAATCACGTACACTCAGATCAAAAATCACAGAAACTAGGAATGGAGTGTGTTGAGGTTTTTATTTACTTAAGAATATGAGTTTTTTGGCATTTGTAAACTGAAAGAAATGTATTATACTGAAATGAGTGTAAAATAGAAATGGGCTAATTCCAGTGCTAATTTTAAAAAGGATATTCTGAAGTAAACTAAGAATTAGAGAGTAGAAATTGAATGAAAAAAATTCCACATTGAAACTTGAGTTTTGATAAAGAATATAAAAAAAAATTGCATGTCCCTTAAATGGCTAGATTTCATGCTACCTCATAGGAAAAAAAAAAAAAACAACAACTAACACTCATCATTGTTTCTAAGGTACCTTTTAATTGAATGAAAAAATATTGTTTGCTTTTAAATCTTTATAAGGTTCCAAACACTGAAACGTTGGGTGATGTGAGACTTTTTTATTATTAATCATCATAGTAATTAGTTCAGACAGTTTAAAAACCTGGTGTCTGAGACGGGCAGCTTTTTAAAAGTGCATCTCTAAGTCAAGCCAATTTTTAAAATGATTTTCTAAGTTAAGCAATTAAAAAAATGTGTGTATATATGTATATATATTTAAAAATATAAGCTAAGTCAAGTAACTAAAAATTGATACCTAGGGCAGACAATTTGGAAAAATAGAAATGTCAAAAAATGTACAGAGAGGTAGTGCAGACAATTTCTTGTAAATAGATGTCCAAATCTAACTAAAATAAAAATATATATAAATAAGTCAAACAATTAAAAATTGATACCTAATGTACACAATTTAGAAAAAATAGATATGTCAGAAAATGTACAGACAGGTAATGAAGATAATTGAAAATAGATTCCAAATCCAACTGAAATTTAAAAAAAAAATTATATATATATACACACACACACACACACACACACACATACATATACACACACACACAAGCTAAGTCAAACAATTAAAAATTGATACCTGAAGTACACAATTTGGAAAAATAGATCTGTCAGAAATGTACAGATGGGGAATGCAGACAATTTCTTGAAAGTAGATTTCTAAATCAAACTAAAACTGCATGTCTAAGTCAGAACATTCAAAAATACCTTCTGTATGTTATACCATTTAAAATGTTATGTTTATTAGTCTATTTAAAATCTCAGATCATTATAAGGAATCAGATCATTTAAAATATTTTTGTAGTCAATTCAGACAGTCTAAAAAACAGATTTTGCAATTAAACAAAAATGATTTGCCTAAGTTAGAATTAAAAAGAAAACACATTTATGCATTTTAAGTGTGTGCATTAAGAAAACACATCACATGTCATAAATTTCTGAAGTGTTTAGGGATGAAGTTTTATATCTTCAGTTTGCTTATAGTCGGTTCTACAGAAACTACTACGCACACAAAATCAATATGGCAAGATGTTAACTTGGCTAAGTAGAGGGTACAGTTTTTCAACTTTTCTGGAAGTTGGAAAAGTGTTACAAACATTTTGGGGGGAAATGTCTGTCTAACACAATTTTTAACAACTATTGAATAACTCATGCAATGCTTTTTACAGCATATCTAGCTCATAAAAATTTTTAGACCTCTTTTATGACTTGTAAATTTCAAAACCATGCAGCAAATCAAACTATAGCTGTCAGATTAGAATATGGACTGGGTTTTAGATGATATTAAGAAATTATTAATTAAACTAATTGATTTAATTTCTAATTTTATTGGAGGCCTATTGAAATTTTTAGTGGTGAAATGTCAAAAATATCACTTCATATTCTTACCCCCCTCAAATGAAACAAATAAGGCAAAGTGTTACTAACTGTTGAGTGTGCTGATGAACTGGGAGGAATTTAATACCATTTTACACACTTTTATGTATGTTTGAAAGTAATAAAAACAAAATATATATCTATCAAGTTAAAAACATGACAATTAAAATGAGACTTGTAAATATCTAAAGCTCAAATAATTAAAAAGGAAATGACAAACTAGAGTTTAACTTAATTTTAAAAATCATAACCTGAAGTTTCTGGTTTCTAGTCAGAAGAAAAAGCTGTAAAAGTTTGTTTTCATGTGTGTGTTTTTCTCATACAACTGAAAATAAAAAAAGGAATAGTTTTTTGTTTTTTTAATTTTAAACCTGAATTTCATCCTTATTTAAGGGAGAAGCTATGGAAATTGGCTGTAAAGTGGTATGTGTTTCTCTGATGTCAAAACAAAGGGCACCTAATTACTTAGCGCTCGAAAAATTCACACGGGCATTTTTTTTTTTTTTTTTTTTTTTTGCATCCTAGTTTGAGGGGGAGGAAACGAACGCGAGTCTGGCTGTCTGTGGTTCGGGGTTACTGCGGGCGCCTGTCGCGCGTGCTAAAGCAGGTTTGTGCGGCATCAGGCCGGTCGGTCCCAGGCACTGAAGGAGGTGTGTGGTGGCAAAGCAACGCGCAGTCCCGAGGGCCAGAAGGGACCTAGAGGTCACTTGACCCAATGCCCCTGTGCCTGCCTTCCTTGACCACTGTGACAGCGATAGGGAATTCCAGCAGCTGCTCACTGCACTGCTTGTACTGGAAAAAATCTTTGCCTCGATTAACGCCAGCTTTGCCTGTTACCTTGCCTCCTGGGGCGCTGGCCCCAGTTCTGGCCCCTTGGGCCGCGGCATTCTTCTGCAGGACAGCCGGCAGGCTTCTTGTCCCCTCCCCGAGCTTCCTCTGGCTCAGGCTTCCCCGCTCAGGCAGCGAGGTTAAGTTTCTTGCCAATGAATGAAGTCTAGTTTTTGTTTGTGTGTGTGTGTGTGCTTTTTAAAGTTCAACACCCAGAACTGAACAAAATCCCACTTAATTGTGTTCTGGTTGTGTTGATATTCATGAAATGAATAGTTAAAAGCAGAGTGGGGTTTGCTTTTTAGACGATCAGCAACGTGCAGTTGTTGGCCTTCCTTCTTCAGTCTGTTTTGGCCTTCGTGTTTGCTTCCCGCGGTGGTCACGCCTGGGGCAGCGTGAACTGAAGGCGGGGGTGCTGGCTCCAAGGCTGGGAGTTGGGGCGAGCTCTCCCTGCCAGGACCCAGAGCGTGTCTTCAGGCAAGTTTGTAATCTCTTTGGCCACCTCTGGCCTTACTTGTAAATTGAGGGGTTTTGAGGTAGGTGGTTTCTAGTGGCCCTGTGGATTCAACAGTGCTTTCTCAAGTTCTGTTTTGATACATTATTTCTCCTGACCAAGGCATGCAGCCTTAGCTTTCCATCTGGAGAGGAGAGACACACACCCAACCACAGCGCGGGGCCTGTAGCCCAACGTCCCCAGCAGAAGCCCTTCAAAGTAGCTCCATTACGGTGCAAAAGAGACTTGGACGCTGTGGCAGCCAAATGCAGGTTTTCAGGCAGCCCCTCATTCAAGCATCTAGAGGCAGCTGGGCTTTAAGAAGCTGAAATGAATGGACAAAGTTAAACAATCATTCAGAAAACGTGTATGGCCTTGAATGAATGAATGAGAAGTAGAAGCCGGTCGCTGCGCTGACCCGATGTGTCGCCCGTGCGGTTACCTTCGACCCCCCCCCCTCCCCGGGTGCTCTGAGGGATCACAGCTCCTCGGTTGGTGCCCG